ACTGCGAATATTTCAAAATTGCTCTTGACTGCCTTAACAGTACATGAGCTCGCATAGCGCAGCAGTGGGTTGGGTCCACCTCTTGTAGAGGTGCTACAGCATCAAGGACTGGTCGCCTGCAGTAGAGAAGTGCAAAAATGCTGGAGGTTTCAGTGTAGACTCGAGTATTATGCATAACATGTACTGATGTGGCTGGTATTTTGAACTTCATTAACATAGTCTGAGCTGTAAGAATGCTTTCACATGTCTTAGAACAAGATGGATACGGCTGGGGAAGCAATATGGTAAATGATGAACAGATGAGTTCAGAATTGGAGTCATTCTGTGCTCCCAAAAAAGGATATTCCAGTCAAGGTACTCTGTGGTTTCTGGCTGGGAGTAAATATATATATTTGTATACCATTAGTCATTAAATACTGTTGCAGGAATTAGTATAGGAAATGGGCTATTCTTCTTTGCACGTAAATGCAGGATATTCTTATTTTTCGGAAGAGGCAGCCCCTTAGTGGCAAAAGCCCTAATTTTGATCTTGGGTGCGATCTGGTATTACCCAGAAATAGAAAGATAGCTAAATGGTTTCTTTTTAAGACAACTTTTTTGAAAAACTTTAATTCTAATACATCTTATGGAATTTATAGGAGAGTAACTGAACCCTTGCAGGTTTGTATTTTAATTAGTTAACAAATGAGGTAGCTACACTTGTCATGATTTAATGAATGAATGTTTTGCCATGGACTTGTTACCTTTAGGAAGGTGGTAAGCTTTTATGTTGTCTGCCATGATTTTAATTAAGTGTAACAGTCTAGTTGACAAAACAACTTACTTGGAAGATGCTTGGATGGCAGGAGTGGTTTAGAGATGCTCGGGCTGGAGCTGATCCTCTGCTGAGGACAGACCACTTCCAGCAGAAGCTCAAACCATTGCACAGAAGGAAAGGCAGCTAGAAACTGGGGCAACTGGATATTTTTTTTTTCTCCCCCTTCTTCCTAAAGAGTCTAAACCAATTATGCCCGGCTTGTTATGAGTTAATTTTAATTTGTTTGTCATACCTCACCTACAGCTAATACTGTGGTTGTGTTAGCTGGAACAATTTTCTTGGTCTTTAACGGAAATTGTTTAAACATTTTATTAGAAAGCTAATACAAGCTTTAGGAATAAATCTACCTTTCACTCTGAGGACCATTGTTTTAAATGCAGCTTCTTTCAACATTTACGGTTTTCTGTGATGTTGGAATAAATAGCAAGTATAATATAAAATACCCACTAGTATGATAGGCTGGTCTTCTATAGAGGTAGAGTTGGCCTTAATATAAATTTAATCTCAAAAACCTCAGATTTTAAAAAAGCGGTCTAGGCAGTTAGCTACTGACAGTTATAAATACTGTCTGTCTCTTGTTAAAGCCTTTTCATAATGCTGAAATTCTTAAGTTTATCACACTGGATTTGTAGCGTCAGAGGTTTGGGGTACAAGTTTTCTGAGAAAGGAATCAAACTGGGTGAACTGAGATTTGTTTTCTAAAATCCTGTAGAAACCTGACGATGGTTTGTTTGGTGTTTTCCCCAGTTACAGTTTACTAGCTGCTTCTTTACATCTCTAATTAGATAACTTTGAATGATGTCAGTTAACCCAAAAGCCAGAGCAACAAAGTGCAATAAAATGTTGACATTTTCTCTTTTTGAGATGAGTAAAAGGAATAAATCCGTGTAATTGAAAGAAACTACAAAGTGAGATTTTTTTTTTTTTTTTCCTCCCTTACATATCAGTACCCTTAAGTTGTTCTGTCTTGAGCTGTTCATAAAATATAAAGCATCTCATCTGCTACACTGGTTTCTGTGGAGTAAGTGTTGCTAGTAACTGGTAGGAGAGCAGACTTAGACTCCTGACTGAAGTGTCTGATGTCTTTAGCTTATTTGTTTTCCAGTTCATGTTTACTACGTGTTTTTGTTCGGTCAAGTAACATTTCACACAGCACTTGGGAAAACAGAGCTGTATATAGGAGCTAAATATTTGTAAGGAAACGGCAATTAATATTTTATTACTTGAACATCATTAATGATTTACTCACAGTCCCATGGAGAGTACACGGTCATAAATGTGAATGCAAATCTTGGACACTTGTTCACTCAAATTAAACCAGGCACGTTTTCTTTGGATGGCCGGGTCTGTAATATCCTGAAGGAACAATCTCATCTTTAAATAAAATGCCGCTTTTGCAAATGCTACTTGGTTCCTTTGGAAACTTAGTGTGGGGTGGGTGGAGATGGGTGATGTTCAATAGCAACGATTGAAATGTGAACTCGGGTTTTGAGGAGGATCGAGAGAGCACACGGTCACCCCTTGCCGCTTTTGTTTTCCTACCCGGACCTCACGTTTCACTGCTCTCCTTCTTGCCTCTTTACATCTGCCATAACGCTAAGCTCTATCTTTAAGTTCCTTTTAATTTTCCTGGGCAAAGCAGCTGTCCTCTCCCTACGTTTTTCTCTCTTTAAAATGGATTTTAATGTTGTATGAATCCTATTGTAAGAGGTCACAGGCGATGGTTATTACTGTTGTTCAGTGTCTTGCTATTTATTGCATGAGGTGGAGTAACTATCCCTGTATGTGTGGTGTTGGCTGTTAAAAAGTATTAAAATTAAGGAAGGGTGCATGAGAAATGTTTTATGGTTTGGGGAAGAAAACCAGTCTTTACTAATGATGCAGCACTGGCAGAGGGTAAGAGCAGGAGGAAGAAGAGTTCTGCTCTCTTAAGTAAAAGAGGAATCTCATTTTTTTTCTCCCTCCTTGCTCCCATTAGAGCAAGGTGGTGGAGAGATTTCTTTTTCCGTAGAGGTGGAGAGATTTCTTTTTTGGGGTATGTGAGACTACTGCAGACCACTGCCAAGTAGGAGTTAACCTTGTTGCATTACTGGGGAGGTAATTTTGGAACCAGACTAAAACCTGGGAAGTAACTCATGGCTCTGATGCTTCGACTGATTTTTTTTTTTCTTTCTTTTTTTTCCCCTCCCCTTGTCACCAGAAGGCAGATGAGTTTTTCAACAGCTTGTGGGATTACTTGTAGGTTTATTTCATAAATACATTGTTGTCAGCATGTGTTGATAAAGACACATAAGGCAATAGTGCTTTGTTTTTAAGCTATTACAACGCCAAAATAGAATGCAGTTTATAAAGTTAAATCATATTTTTTTCTAGAGGTTTCACAAAACTTACCTCCTAACTTTACTTACCGTGCATCTCTACTGTTTGCAATATGAAAATGTGTGTTAGCAGAAACAGTGGTTTTGCTTGTATTTTGATACAAAAGTCTCACAGGCATTCCTCTGATCTTGGCTGTCGGAAATAGAGAGATCCCGTAATCCAATTCTTTTCATGCTCTGAAACCTTAGAATTTAAGGATGACTATAAAGAGGGGTATTCTATGAACATTTGGTTGTAGTAGGAGGAACAAATGTAATGGTTTTGGGGTTTTTTTCTCTTTTTTATTTCTTTTGCCCCAGGCTAGTTCTTTGGTTAACCAAATCCACTGTAATCCCATCAGGAGAATGTGGTGATCGTTTAGTAATTTATATTGTATGGTTGTCTTAATCCAGGTTCTGTCATTGTAGCAGAAAATATGAATCCAAGCCCACCATATGACTTGACTGTGTCCATATGGAAATAATAAACTGTGTAATAAATGGCCTACTGTTGTACAACGCAGTACTGAGGGTGATTTTCTTCCAAAGCGATTTTTCTTTCTAAAACTCAGACAAGCACAGAAATCATTCCCAATTTCAAGAGTCTTTTTCTGTGAAAAAACTGATTGGTTCATTGTTTGAGCGAAGTCAGAAATCTTTCTAACTTAGAGGATGCTTGCCTATACCTTACTTTCGTCAATTATGGAAACAGGTTGTAATTCTAAAAAACGAATTTAACTTTGGGTGGGATTGTTCCATGTTTCAGCAAGTAGCTCTATCAGTATCAGATCTGTGCAGTTACTTTATGTGTATATTGGAGGGCAGCTGCGGCTTCTAGAGGGTGTTACCATCCGCTGAGAATACGCATATCACGCTGATACGGTTTCATTTGATAGTCTTAAAGATATTGGAATTTAGGGGTGGTTTTTTTCATATTTTAACCACACAAGGGATAAATTTCCCCGCAAAGTTTCCCTGAAGTTCTGAGATTGAAACTTGAATGGAAGAAAGGCTTTTTGCCTTCCATGTGCCGTTTTCTCCAGAGGTATTTTTAGTCTGGGGACTTCTTAAATAAGTAGTTTATAATTACCAGCAGTGACAGTTGTCATGTGTACTTTATTTGATTAATCTGAGGGTAAAAGCAAGTTGCAGTTTGCATGGAGTCCGTGTATTGAATCTTTTCATTTGTGTTTGCACCCACGTAGGAGTTAATACTTGAGTGTTAAAGTAAGTCAATATTTGAAGTCTTTCTGTTAGCTACATGGCATTGTATTTGAATGCTGGGTTTAATTATGAGAATAATAGCAGCCGTTTAAATGTTGATGTAAACTGTATAAGGAACACAGATTTAGATCAGTTGTGTGACAGTATGTATTTTTACTAGTTGATATTACTGTAAGAATTCCCCTACTGATCCCAGCATACATTGATACGCTCAGGATGACAGATGACACTTGCACACAAATAAATGTTTTGAATCTGTGAATATAGAACATTGTGTTGAAATTTGGCCTTTTCACTTAATGGCTGTATTTTTATTAAGCTGTGTGGCTGCTCTCCTGTTACAGATTGGAAACGGAAAAAGTGTAATGAGGTTTAGCAGTCAGATTGACTGATTATTTTGTCCCTGTTCTTGGGTGGGTTTTGCTAATACGAGGTTATGAGTATTGAATGGAACATTTCCTTAAGGGGAATAGATCTCTTGAAACTGCTTGATTATCCTACGCTTTCTTTGAAAACCTAGTAAATTAACTGACCATAATGTTATATTCATTGGAATCTGGGATTTGGAAAGCTGTGCTAATTTGTTTTGTCTGTTCTTGTAGCTTAGGTATCAACATGGGCTGAGTACTCCAGATCTAAGGCAAACTCTTCCGAACCTGAAAAACTTCATGGAGCTTGGGCTAATGGTTAGATGGTAAGTATTTTTTCGTAATTAAAAAGCAGTGGATGCTACAAAAAATTTAGCTGTAAAAATTTTTCACAAACAAGCAGCTCCTCTTGGTAAGAGTTAAGCATGCTTGGTGAAGATTGTGACTTCCCCAAAATACAGGCTGTGTAAGATGTCCGCAATATTCTACTATTTTCTTCTCTTTTAATATCATCCATGTGATGGGCCCACAACACTTCTTGCAGGAGTGGGGGGAAAACTGAAAAGCAATGTTCTTCACTAAAGGAAAGTGAATGAATCATTCTTTTAAGACTGTATCTAAGGGTTGGTAGCGGATGCACCTTCTGTGTTTGGATAGTCCAGGAGGGTAGAAAGGTGTAATAACCTTAGCAGAACAGGTCTTAGCCTGGTCAGTACCCGGCTTCCCATTTGCTTTAAATGTGTAATTCAGGTGAGCTGCATGGGAATCTGTGAATTATAATCAGCACGATTTGTGTTGAGTGTAATTGCTGCTGATGAAAATAGCTGTTGCGTGTTGAGTGCTGTTGCTAAATGGGAAGCTACATTAATGAGCAACTGAAGGTTAGAGTAACCTTCCAGGGAAATTGTTGATGCTCCTGCTCTGATGCACCCTGGAGGATCCAGGCTCACTCTCCACTGTCTGTGTGGAAAATCAAAGCAGACTGGTTTCTATGTTATAAGACTAAAGTTAGTGTAGGCTTATCTTGCAGCAGTTGTTTGAGCATGAGACTTGAACAATTCTCCTTAAACCTGCTGAGATAAACTTTAGAAATGTGGAAGGCGATTCACTAGCAAGTGTATTTCTGCAGGTGTTAGATGCTTTGTATTCTCATTTTTTAATTTATGTTTTTTGAATTGTGTGCACTCATGCAGCCTCTTACCTTAAACCGTTTTGTCTTGCATTCTCATCTCCGTTCCCTGGGTGCCTGAATCCCACCCAAACATAGAATTGTGCCGTTTTAGGATCCCTAGGTTTATTATTGACTGCCCCAAAGTTGCACAGGTCTTGCGTGGTCGCTGTGTCATACCTGGCCCCGTGCAGATGCCTTGGGTACTCTAAGGTATTGAAAATGCCACCCAGGATGAGCCAACCCCACCAGGTTTTGCTGCCAGATGCTCTGGTGATGCTCTGGTGATGGGTATGGACTCCCTCACTGCTTCAGCTGATCTGAGAAATAATTTCTGTTGGCACATATTATGCTAAATTGAGGTGAAAGAGTGCTTCCAGTCTTCCTAAAGGAAACTAGTTCTTCATGATAAGATAATGATCTACAAAACGCTAATATTCAAACCTTAATGTTTTTGGACTAGTATATGGCTTTTAGGGGAGACTCAAACCCAAGCTTGAGCTAGTTTTTAAATCTGATGTGAAATGACACTAAACATTGTGGCACTGGCCCTTCTGTAACAGTGGAGTTAAAGCTTTCTAGTGCTATTCATATTATATCTGAATTCGTTTCACGTTAAACCAGCAGAAGTAGCAAAGCCTCTATTAGTGTAATGCAGACTAGTCTCTTGTCATGTTCTGCATAGAGGCAGCATAGCATAAGGTGAATTTTCCTAGTGATGGAAATATGTTTTCTGAAATTAATGGAGAAAAAGTGTTATGTGATAAATAGTCTTGGGTTGAATAACAGCGGGCAAACTCTGCTCTGATTTTAGTATTCCAATAGGGATCTTATTGCTGTATTTTAGTAGGGTCCTAAAATGTTGCTAAGCTCTAAAAGTCTCTTTTTTTTCTTTTTTTTCCACCCCCTGCAATATGTAGAACATGGGAAGAACAACACATCAGTTTTAAAGACAGTATGTGATCACATATCCTTTTATGCAAAAACAAAACCAAGGTTTTTGTTATTGCTCCATTTGAAAATTGTAAGAGCAGGCTTCAGACAGGGTTAGTGCCGCAGCGTAGCACAGCTCTCTGTGTCAGACCTTTGGGACAAAAGTTATATTGCAGTAGGTAACAGGGATGAAAATCCTATGGGATGTCATCCTGCCACAGCTATTTCCAGCCCTTATTTCTGTGTCACTCTTCGCCTTTGTTATCTTTCACTCCTTGCACAGAAATGCTGGTCCATGTGAACTCTAAGCTAAGTGTCCGAATCCCTTATTTTGGGAGGAGAGTCTTGGCAAAGGAAAAAAAACAAACACAGGAGTAGAAAAAGCATCAACTTTGAGCAATACTGTAAAAAGTGTTGCCTGATCGAAACTGAACTCAGCCAAGAAAACAGTGGAAGTAAACAGGCCCTGAGAAAAGGAAGCTCTCAGTCCCTTGTGTGGTTTTATTCTGTCAGTAATTTCAGGCACAGCTGAAAAGATTCTCCCTGCTTTTCTTTTTATCCCCTAGCAAGACGCATAAAGAAAAGCTTTCTTCATCGGGAAAATATTACCCTGAGTTTTCATGGGATATCCACCACTGTGATGCAAAAGTCCTAAGATGACGTGTGGTCCCCTAGGCAAATCTGAAAATGAAGGGCCAAAATACCTAAACGGTGACTTCTGTAGCGCTTGTGTGTACTCCTCAGCAGAGAGGGAGGGGTACAGGTCCTGGGTGTCTCCTTCAGTCTTGCGTACACAGAGCTGGATGACTCTGGGATGTGTTAAATGGGAATCGTTTTCAAAGCATAGGTATCTGTTCTTCCCTTCTGCTGTGTACTGGCTTTGAAGAACTGATAACGGAGGCTTTAGTTACGCCTTAGAGGTTTCGCCATCGTGCAACCAGGGTTTTTTTTCCTATAGGTGATACATAGCCATTAGCAAGACAAAACACGTTTTTTGGCTGGATAATATTTCAAAACATGTAGGAATATTAAACATAGTTCTCCGGGAGTATCACGTTCCCTCTTTCCCCCCATGAATGTCTATGCCTCATTTCCTTTTCACCTCCAAAACTTGTATGAATAGTTGTTCATTTTTAACTTTTTTTTTTTTTTAAGGCTAATGATTCTAAACAATGCTTCTTAGTAATTCCTAATAATATAAATGGAAATGAGGCTTTACAGGGAGTCTAGCTCAAGGGGAAAACTGGCTAGACTTCCATAATTGGGCATTGCAGTTGAGCACATACATAGCAGAGTACAGATGCCCACTGTCTTGCGGATAATATCTGATTACATATATTTAAACAAGCATAAAAGCCACCAGCTGTTAAAATGAAGATTTGAAGGAATTTTTTGTTTTCAGGATACTGTAGGTAAGTCATCTGATACCCTCTCCCACAGACTGTAGTCGGTAAAGTATTTCCAGGTTATCCTTCATTTGCAGGACGAGCGCAGGAGCATATGAGGCAGTGATGGGTTTTTCTTATCTGCAGATTCACTTGCACTGCCTGGTTGGTTTGGTTTTGTTGTTTCTGAGCTTCAGTTTCCTTTCTCAGCATTGTAGCTGGGTTTTGCTGAATTGAAGTTCTATCAAATCACAATCACACTGGTGTAAAAAAAACCCCACCTACACTGTACTTAGTTTCTCTTTGAACAGGACTGCTTTTGAACTCCTAGCCCATGCATCATCCTCATTTTTGCTTTTATTTAGGGACATCTGTATTTCTCTGCAGTCTGGAATGGAATTGAATCTCCTAGTTATTCGGGGTAACTGAAATACATAGTTATTGCAGGCTTAACCTCTTTCTCTGGTAAACATCAGTTTAGATTTGAGTACAAAATAGTTTCTTTAACCCTTCAGATTAAAAACCAACCAACCAACCAACCCCACAGCTCTTGTAGAAGTATGAAATAGGTGGGCTCTTCTATCAGAGCCGTTTTGGCCGTTGTCTTTAAAGTCTCAGCTTCAGGCTTTCCTGAGCTCCGTTGTTCGGCCTGGAGCTCTGGGGCAGCCCTTGGCCCTGCGGAGTCCACTGCCTTTGCATCAAGGTTTAATTGCATTGCCGCTGGATCCCTCTGCCTGGTGAGATTCGTGTTGTTTTGGTTTCTCAGGCATGACACTTAAATGATTAATACGTGTTTTCACATCCCAACACACGTGATTTATTGCAGCAAGCTTGCAGGTCTACAAGCTCTGCTTCCCTCTTCATATCTCTCCTGGCACCTATATTCTGCTGTGTTTACTTTTCTCCCCCCTTACCCCTGCTGCAAAATATTATTTGTACTGTACATAGACTGAAATCAAGACGGATCTGTTGGTTCCCGCACACACTGTTACGGAGGCTACAGAACGGCAAAAACTTATTTTTCTGATGTCAAATCTGGAGGTTGACTCTTAAGGTGAAAGATGATGAGCCAAAGTTGTTGTTGATTTAGACTATCCCAGTCGTGGTCCCCCAAATCTTTTCTGTTTCCTTTTGGGAACAATTCTCTCTGTTTCCAGCTCTTTAGTCCTGGAGTCTCACTGGCTTCCAAAAAAGCAGCTAACTTTTAAGATTAGCGTTTTTGCTGATGCAGAAGGCCCTATGCAGTTTTTGTCTTAAATTCTTTTTCTTTTGAGTATGCAGTTTATTCCAGCTTTTGAGAGACACCAAGTCTTTGCTTGCCCGTGGTCTGTACATTTTGAACGTTGTCCTATTCCTTTCTGCGTTTTTATTCCTTTTTGCAGATTTATCTTTCACAAGTCAGGCTCTTGAGATCAATGGTTGCATTAAATCAAGAAGACTCTTTCATTTTCTCTCCTATTCTTCAGCTTAATTTGCTCTGTGTAACTTTTGAGGGATAGTATTTGTGATTATTAATGGCAAGTAAAGAGCACACTGCAAACTTGAGCAGTCCAGTGAGAAGGAGGTTTTTTTTTTTTCCTACTGAATAGATGAGACAAAAGGCTTATCTAATGCTGGCAAATACGAGATATTCCTTTAGAAAGTCTTGTCTGTAGTCAGGGAGATGTCCTTTTAGCCTGCATTTAAAAGCTTTACCCAAAAATACTTGCGTGCCAAGGCTTAAATTTGTGTTTCGAAGGTATGTCTTGATTCATAAGCTGCTAGATTCAAGAGGAGGCTAAAACTTAATGTTTGAGTTAAGAAAACTCTGGTAGCTTAATTTATGAAGATTTTTTTTTTT